ATCTGGTATAATTTTTTTGAAATCTTGACAACTTATAAATATGGTTATTTGACAGATTCTAAAGAATCAAAGGTGATAACTGTAAACTGGTTGGACGTTATAATTACAACACTACAAATCTATTACATTTATTGAGGACGTTACAGAAGGAATTAATTTAATGTAGTCAGAGGAGTCCTAACTCTCCTCAAGTCCGAAAATGGCGTTTCTCATATTGTATCAAATATAACAACAGAATCAAAAAGTTATTTAAGATACCGAAGCGATATTTATATTTACGGGCATTTATAGCCAAATCTGGTATAATTTTTTTGAAATCTTGACAACTTATAAATATGGTTATTTGACAGATTCTAAAGAATCAAAGGTGATAACTGTAAACTGGTTGGACGTTATAATTACAACACTACAAATCTATTACATTTATTGAGGACGTTACAGAAGGAATTAATTTAATGTAGTCGGAGGAGTCCTAACTCTCCTCACGTCTGAAAATGGCGTTTCTCTTGTAGCAAATATGGAATACGGGAGTAGAAATAAAAACTGTTTTAAATGCGAACTCATATTTGCCCTTTGCCAAATAAGGACGATTTAAAAATAATAATAATACTGCATATGAGTAACGACCTCATCAGAATGGAATAATTTGTAATTCTTTGACACACTAAAAAGTTTGAATATTTACAATTTTCCATTATAATTATAATAATTATTATAACGCGACCGTAAACCGAAGTCAGACATAAAGCTTCCCAGTTTTTCAATTGCGGTCGAGATTCTTTTAAGATGTGATGTGTTAACCCTAGTTTTAATAACGTGTACTCTGATTCTCAATGATTTTACTGGCAGTGTGAATTATTGAAGAGCCCGGCCCGCATGACAACTTATAGCGCATGCTGATGATTCTGAGAAATACTGATGATACTAAGAAATGCTGATGATACTGAGAAATGTAGGAGAAGCACATGATAACACACAGGTGCTCTGTGGAGAAGCACAGAGCACCTGTGTGTCCATGTGTCGTGAGAGGATGGTTTTTATGTACATTATTAAACATTAATTAGGACCAGGTGGACCTTAAGTAATTAGTTTTTCGACATTCTCGACATGAAGTTTCGCCGAACAGGATCGCGTGTCTATGATCAGGGGATAAAAAGACATGTCAATATGATTAAAGTTGGAAGGATGGTCAGCTTCTGTTCCTTTCATCGTTGAGTGGTTGTCAAACTCAAATGCCAGCAGTATTATAAATCACGATTTCCAAATACGATAGATTGAATAACTACGAACTTACCAATGTTGTTCTTCCAGTTCCAGCAAGATTCTCCATGCAAGAGTGTTCGCACATTAATTGTTTATCTAAAAGCAGAAAAAGGACAGAAAATGATGAATCGATGTAAAAACACTGCGCACTCAGAACTCAGCCAAACGATGTAAAAAGAGCCTAATGTCTGAGCTCATGACGTTTCTCAAAGCCGTATATTTTCGCCGTACAATACAATTAACAGATATTAATGGTTCGTACAGCCGAGAACTATAATATAGAAAATTCTATAGCTCTAAATATTCACTTAACAGAGCAGAAAAAAAGTGATAATTACGTGAAATTCTAGGAGGAGATTACGGTTCCACACAGCGCTCAAACAATGATGTTGATGAATAGTAGTCGTCAAACGCCACGTGAAAGAATTTAACTATTATTTGGCTCTCAATCTTAAAAACTAACTACTTCCCTTCTCCCAAAATAGAATCTGTGCAGATAAAGGATCTCTGCTTGCTCGGTTGAACAGATTTAATGATTGAATGAAGATATGTTTGAAGCCAGGAATTCTGATTCTGCGGAAAAGTTTCATGCGGAGTTAACTTTGATAAGCGCAAGGATAATTAATGTATGCAGAAAAGTTAATCAATAAACGGCACAAGATGTAACTAGATAAAAATAAAATGGAGCGAGATAACAAACGGTCTAAGCAGCTCCTTTCAGTGAGCTGAAATGCTTTCCTGATTGGAGCTGTACCCTGCTTCGGGGATGGGGGTGATTGATATACCGGATCATACAAATTACGTACAAAATGTCTCCTGAAACAAGAGATTGATAACAATAAGATGCTTTATACCACATCAAAAAATGTTGATTCTAGCTAAAGACGTAACTGGCTGAAAGTTCACATTTATACACTATACATGTAATACTACATATTACATGCATATAGTTTATACACTATACATGTAATACTACATATTAAGCGTAGGGTGGGGGACTACAAATATCCACTTGAAGTATATTTTACTTTATATAATACTTCTGTGTTATGAAAAGTATTTTCTGAAGAGTTCAACATTAAGGTTGTAAAAGACAAGACACATATTTTTGATTATTAATATCTGCCCTACTGCTCTCAAATTCTAACACGTCATACAATAAATTTCCATGACCAATCACTTCAAGACCCCATCATCTAAATATGAAGTGGACACTATTATGTCACGACCTGCTGTATCGGAGTTACATTGCTTACATCCCAGCTGATCTGTGAAAGTGTAAACGAAGCCTCATCAAATTAGGCGATTGAAATGTTTACAATTGCACAACCTACACGAAACGCACAAACACGGGACGACAGGGATAACAAGATACTGTAGTAAGATGACGGCAGATCAGAAGAGAACTACCCATTCAATGTGCCAACGCACTAAGTATCTGAGAAGACCTGGTTCAATTTGGCACTGTGCTCGTCAGATGACTGACGAGAAGAGAGCTTTAGTATCCGACAATACATCTAACTACTACAATAGTGGCTTACAAAACGAGAGTTTTACTCCTTTAGAATATGCTAGAAGTGAGCTCCACAGTCCACAAGAGTACAACAAAAAACAAGGAGCGGTGAACAAGGGCCTTACACCCATGCTGCCCTCTCTCCAACTCTCTCTCTCTCATGAGCCATGTATACACACTAGTTAAACAATTGCACTGCTTCCCCCGCTACACTTCCAGTCAGCTCACCACATATAATGGCTCTCTTAAACCACGGGACTGTCGCGTATCGCGCACGTGCTCTGGTGGAGCCGCGCACGTGCTCTGGTGGTGTTGAACAGAGGGGCCAATAAGAGTCGGTGAGCCGCGCACGTGTGGGCGGACCACGTGGGAGCAGCAGCACGTGACTCAGGGGTTTTAGGGGGCAGTATATTCTTGGTTTTAGTACAGTGTTTTAATAACCTTTGATGGCCGCGTGTACCTTGTTATTCAGAAGGTACAGAGGTGGGGGGAGGTTTACTAATGAGCAATGTAACGTCGTTACTCTACATTACAGGGGATTGTAATGTAAAACAGGGCCCACTGCTAGTAGTATTGGACAATACAGTATATATTATATAGTATTATAGCACAATGCCTGTTGCTCAAGTCTACAGAGGTGGAGATATAATACTCTTTAGAAACTTAAACATACTGTTACCATACGTGGCCATTGTTATGAAAGTCTGCTTCTAGGCAAAAATTTGGAACTTTCTGTCTTTCAGACTTTCAGTTAGGGAAAATGAATTAATTACTATGACCATCTGTGCATAATTCAGCTACGGTTTCTCCGCACTGGACTGCTGCCCAAAGTTCTGGGTCAATAAGGTTCAATATCATGGGCATAACTCTCTGAATTCATCTACAATACCCTTCCCACAAAAATACATGTGGTAAATTAGGTTACGACTTTACGAGGTTTTAAGATAGACGTGCAAAGTGTTCACATTGGTCAATATATTTCTATACAACATTTGAATTAACTGAGGCCCTCGAGGCTCGAAGGCTTATTTTTTGAGAGGTTCTGAGATAAATATACTCCAGAGAGGCTAACATTTCACATGTTACTTTGTACTTTTGTAAATGAAAGAAAAAACTCAGTTCTTAAAAGTGTTGCCCCTTCTCAGACAAAACCTTTGAATTAAATGATTATTTTTAGTTTATGCTCTTCTATTCAGTACATAAGCAACTGACGGAGGATCATGCGAGGCACGTTTAAGATAGTGAGAACCAAACCGTATTCGCTTCAGGCTACTCACTACCAGCTTCTTATTTAACCCGTATTACGGACTCACGGACTGAGATGCACTTCCCGATCATTTGGCTTAGAACCCAACAGAGTTCGTATGGATATTCAAGTAGTTTGTAGTGTCCTAATATAAATATATATTATATCAATAGTCAATCCTTGCTGTGGGATACGTAATCTGTTGGTTTATAAAGCTCACAAAGCTTCATTCAGCCAAATGATCGGACAACCGCGATTAGGACTAAACAGCGAACAGGGCTACTTGAGTAAATGATACACTCTATACTATGAGCGGAGCCCCGGGCGAGGACAGTCTGGTTACCTTTTAACAGTCACTACCAAGATGGTTTCCTGTCATTAACTACGGGGCTGTTGAAAGTATGAAATAAAAAGATTATTTTGCTTCAAAGGAATATATCGCCGTTTCTGCCTCTAATCTTCTATCTATAACTCGTAATGTAAGTATTTTTATTTCACAAGATGTATGTAAACATGGCTTATATGGGAACATTTTCAAAGCCTTCGAAGCTTAGCATACTTCACGTACGTCTTTCTATAGGAAGTTATAGCCTGCAAAAGTGCAAATTGCGATAGCAGGTTCCAGTAGGAAAATAACGAAGATAAATAAAATCATTTATTACCCACTTCAACATGTACCCAAAGAAGATTTACATTCACGTCATTCAAGCGACATGGACAGTTGGTATGAAGAAATAAAAATGGGCAATCAAAAGTTTGGGGAGAGTAAAAAAGTTTCAGAAAAAGAGAAAACTTTCAAATGTGTGAAAATGTTTCAGTATAATCACTAAATGTGATATGTCGACACATGTGGTCCAACCCTCAGATTTCTTCGTGCGCTAAAATTAGACGAATGTTTTTGCGGTAGCCCGGCTCAGGGTTCACAGACAACCAACTTAATACATTCTAAAAACAAAACAAGTGACAGTATCAACTTACGTGTTATCAAGAGTTAAAAAGGGTCCACTAGCATCCTAGGGAGAATTAGAAAGGTCGATCTGTCCTGGACTAGGCTTGTAACAGCGTTGTACTCCAGTAACAGTCAGTTCAACCTCCATTGGTCAGGTGACAGCTCATGATAGCTAAGGTACCACAAGATAGAAGACTTATCAAAAACCATGAGAACGTGCGTCACCGCCAAAAATGTTGAGATGGGTTCTGAAAAAAAACCGGGAAATAAGACATAGCGCGCATTACGACGCGCCTTTCTGTCAAGGTTACAACTGCAAACCTTAATATTTTGTCGGTATAATATTTTCGCGCGTTACAAATACAAACTATTTTACGAGGACCGGCCCATATCGAGATTTCTCGCGTGAGAAGGGGTTAGTATTCGGAAGCCGGACCATTCCGTGTGGAATTCAACTTAAACCGAGGAATTAAATTCTGTTATGAGACAGCTTAATCTGTACGATAACGACAAATTCCCCAATCGCTCACCGCATTCTTTGATAAACAGGTAATATGCGAAACTGCGTTGTTGTTGAGAAACCGCGATGTTGGGACCCTTGATGCTAAAAGAGAAAAGCAGCAAATTTCAAAGGTCTTCAAAGTGACCTTCTGTCCATATTTTCAGGTTGCTTAGTAGCAGGAAACTGGAACCTGTACCTCATCGCCTTTCTTTTGGAGAAGATAACTTCTTTTGGAGAAGATAATCATGAGCATTTTCCAGGTAAGTGGGTTAAATTCCACATGGAATGGTCAAGTTTCTTGGATCCCATGTGTCTGATTACGACTAAATAATTAACGAATCAAATAAGAATAACGTTTATTTTCTATCAGTACCTTTCTATCAGAATTCTTCTGACTCGTCGCTACAACAAGGAGTTTCCTAGTTCTTTGTAAGGAGAAAGAACTTGCTGGATCAGATTCATTCATTTGTCTATAAAATTTATACTGTAACAGATACGAGGTTATACCATCTTATTTAATTATACCTACTGGTACTTACTTTAATTAGCAGTAGGGAATCCTTCCGCCTATCTTCTCCAAATTTTGTAAATGCACTATATGAGCTTAAATGCACTATATGAGCTTAAATGCACTATATGAGCTTAAATTTTACAAATAAATTTGTAATCTGCTAGTCGTGAAAGTCGGCGAGGAAACATATTATAATGAAAATCAGACATAGAGACAAAATATCAAGATATTCTACAAAATAATTTCAACAACATCATTTAATTCGTCCAAACATATTATATTTTCCATGAAATAAACAGAATAATAAGTATTTTTATTGCATAATAAATCAGAAATGTATCTTGTAATGTCCATGCGTTGTTCTAGACTGCATGCGAGTTCAACTAGCTTATCTATCCATAAAATAAACAGAATAATAAGTATTTTTAATTTCATTAATAATCTGTTTTCGCTCTTTTGAGTGGGTCGATTATATAATCAATGTCAGTCGATTGAACAAAAACCAAATATGTACATTATGACGAAAGTAAAATTGAATATTAACCAAACTCCTCGAGGTAAAATCTATTGTAGGCAATAGTACTTGGTTTCCAAAGTAACATAATACCATACAAAACATATCAAAACAGTCCAATAAAAACCCTGTCACGGCAACATAAACCTCATCAAAACAAATTTAATTAAATTATCTGGTGCCAAGTCGGTGGAACATCCCAGTACAAACAAAATATTATTAACAACTTGTACCTCATTATATCAAAATGAAAGGTTTGTAAATTTAGACTGAAAACAATGGAAACCTAACTTGGCGTGTAAATTGCGGAAAGACTAAATTTCGTTGCGCGATGACTAATTGTCGATCATATAATTGATGTTTGGGGACTCTCACTTTGTCCCAAAACATCAATATACACCAACATATATTTCTAATTTCATAAAAAATCAGAAATATATCTTGTAGTGTCCATGTCTAGTTCTAGACTGCATGCTAGTTCAACTAACTTATCTATTGATGCTTTTCATACAAACAAGTTAAAACAAATTCTTTATGTCGTGCATCCTGGGTTTGGACAGGATATGCCCGCTTAAAATACTTCCATCGCGTTACACTACATAATTCTGAACTATATTAAAGGTTTCAAGAGATTCTGGATCATTACTGATTACTCTGATGATCATCAAAAGATTGTTCCGACTTCATGTAGAAAAAAGATAGCTAGGCTATGATCCTGAAAAATAAGAGAGATTCATCCCCTGGTGCGATAGGTTTAATTAAAGAATATTATCGTGTTCCACCTGGAGATTAGGATACTCCAAGTCTGGAATGCTCACTAAGAGACTGATTTATCAGAAAATGTGACAGACAAAGTTTATCAATTGTCAAAAAGCTGGTATTTGTTTAAATTAAATTTTTATAAAACATCAATGGGTAGAAACCTTCTTTTACCACTGTTCTAACGGAAGAGAACTGTCTTACCCTTAAACAAGACATTCTTAATAATTACCTGTGCCTCATAGTTAGGATGTTTCTTGTAGTTTTTACGTCTTGTTCTAGACTGTCTTGTTCTAGACTGCATCCAAGTTCCACTAACTTATCAACCTCGCGAGGTGCAGTGCTGGGTGCAGGTGGTTGCTACTTCTAACTGAAAGGTGGTTGTGGGCCTTGTCCCATCCTGAAACATACTGAATATTATTGTTTATTTATCTATACTGATCTACACGTCTCATTCTACCGGAGACACAAAGTAGAAGGTATGAAGAGTCCATCTCAAACGAGGACACAGACCAGTGGGAAGTCAACTTTCCTCGACACCCAGATAATGATAGACGAGCAGGGAACACTGCACCACAAATCCTACAGAATGAAGTAGAAGAAGAAGATCACACTTCATGCTAGTGTAGTCTTGTAGTGTAATATTGTTTCTTAATAATGAATCTGTATAATAAACCATTATAAATATAAACAAAACTTACTTCCTCGGAAAGATGTTCTAGCGATACCAGTGGAGTCCTCCATCCCCGGTCCTATTGAAATGTATTGCATAAAATATTTTGATATTTATACCAGTAACTAAGTTTTCAAATAATAAAAATCACAGCAAAATCTTCACCCATTCGATTGAAATAAACTTAAAAAGTGAGTTAGTGCTAAACAACATTTTTTAAGTTTGTTAAAACTTACGATTTCTTTAGCCCCTTAACCGGTGTTATCTGAATCTCCATGGGAACATCATCTGCAGGGACAGGGAGAGGCTGCACAACTGACATTTAGTATTTATATCATTTTTCATTCTTGACGAAACCTACTACTAAATGTATTACAAAAACTTCGATAAAACCTTCTTTTACCACTGTTCTAGCGGAAGAGAACTGTCTTACCCTTAAACAAAACATTCCTAATTATTACCTGTGCCTCATAGTTAGGATGTTTCTTGTAGTTTTTACGTCTTGTTCTAGACTGTCTCCGAGTTCCACTAACTTATCAACCTCGCGAGGTGCAGTGCTGGGTGCAGGTGGTTGCTTCTTCTAACTGAAAGGTGATGTGGTTGTGGGCCTTGTCCCATCCTGAAACATACTGAATATTATTGTTTATTTATCTATACTGATCTACACGTCTCATTCTACCGGAGACACAAAGAAAAAGGTCCGAAGAGTCCATCTCAAACGAGGACACAAACCAGTGGGAAGTCAACTTTCCTCGACATCCAGATAATGATAGACGAGTATGGAACACTGCACCACAAATCCTACAGAAAAAAAGCAGAATAAGAAGAAGATCACACTTAATATGCTAGTGTAGTCAGGTGGCTCTTAATAATGTTGTATATGTCACCTTCATATGTCACCTTCACAACGTCTAGGAATTATAACACTTATCCCGAAACCTAAAACCCCCATTGAGTTAAACTATATAAAGAACTGGCGACCAATCACCCTTTTGAATGTAGACTATAAGATATTCACTCATATTATAAAAAATAGGATCTTAAGTTCACTTCCAACACTTATTAGTACAGCCCAATCCGGGTTTCAAAAAGGGAAGAGTACCAGCGATAATCTGATCTTAATGTATCTAACCTTAGAACATTACCATGAGAACCAAGAGGATACTGGTATGATTATGCAGGTCGACCTCCAACGGGCTTTCGACTCGGTCGAACATAAGTTTCTTTTCAGTGTCTTGGAAGGTATGGGGTTTGGAAATTATTTAATCAACTTGGTGAGAGTGGCATTTCACGCTGGTATGAGTTACGCTAACGTTAACGGACACCTTAGCAGCCCTGTTCACATACTTCGTGGCGTCCATCAGGGGAGCCCCCTTTCCCCAATTCTTTTCCTCCTAGTGTCCCAGGTACTTAGTAATAAGCTACAGTATAACCCTTGTATTAAAGGCCTCAGCATTAATGGTATCGACATACTCATGAGTCTGTTTGCTGATGACACGGATCTGTACCTGGATCCCTCCCAGGCTTGCGTAGATGCAGTTATCCTAGAGCTCAACCAGTTCGGTCAGCACTCAGGCTGTAAGCCCAACATCAGTAAAACTAAGTGCATACCTTTAGGAGCTACCAGAGACAACACTAGTCTTCGAAATTACCTTACCAGTACATACGGGGAAGACATGGTAGCTAACGAGTTTACAGCATTAGGAGTCAAGTTCGACAACACGTCTAGTGGAGCTGATCTCTGCAAAATGAACTACCACAGTAAACTTAGTAACGCCAGCACCGCTATCAACACCTGGAGTAAGAGAGACTTAACTCTGATAGGAAAGTGTACAATTATTAAATCTCTTATTCTTTCCCAGTTCACTTACCTTATCATACCACTAGAAACTCCTGATACTAACACCATCAGTAAAATAGACACTATGATATTTCACTTCTTGTGGGGTTGTAAGAGGGATAAGTTGAAACGTGATATTGTTACTTCTCCTCGTGAATGTGGGGGTCTAGGTCTCTTCTATACTAACGATTTTATTATAGGTTTAAAAGTGTCACTTATAGGAAAAGTTATCGATCCTAATTTCCAACATGCCTGGAAAAATATTATCATCAATCAGCTTTTACACCCAAATATACCAACTGTGTGTATAGAAAACTGTCTCACATTAAAGAATACTGGTTTTACCTTTAACCTTCTTCGCCAATATAAGCTTTGGAAGTCTATTTCTTCACAGTCAAGTAAGAGTACAGTCAACCACTGTGTGTGGGGAAGCGACGTAATAACGGACATTGGCTCCAAGCTCTGGAACGATATTCTTATTGATAGAAATATCATCTATCTTTCTGATTTCGTTTCAGAGGAAGGTAACCTCTTAAGTTTTCAGCAATTTCTGAGAAAGTGGGGCCAAACAAGTAGTATAATCTCTTCGACTCAATATGCGAGTATAAAGTTGGGAATACGTCGATTTAATAATACCGATACGTTTACAAGTAACATTACATTTATCGATACCCAACTTTCACTTCGCTTTTGGGGAGGTAGGAATACCCCCAACTCTAGAGATACTCCTCTCACTATCAAAGGTAGAAACATCAGAGATACCATGTCTAAGCGTTTAGATCCCAGCACCCTTCCTCCAATGAGGAACTGGAGTGCTAACCTCTCCTTAACGGATATTGATTGGATTAGTATTTTTACGGATATTTTTACTTCTTTCTCAAATAACTTCAAACTTATTCAGTACCAATATAAGCTCCTTCACCGGATTAGTACTTGTCGGTACATGAGATATAAAATGAAGATTGAAAAAGATAGTCCAAATTGCTCGTTATGTAATCACAACCTCGAAACTATCTCTCACATATTTATTGACTGTCCAGCCACAAGCTCTTTCCTACAGGGAGTAAATCTGTTTATTAGATCGAATATTGACGCAAATTATGACGACCCATATCGCCACTATTTGATTTGCTTAAATCACAGAGATAAAAGTGTTAACTTCATAAATTCGGTTTGCTGTTGGTTTATTGGAAGGAGTTTCCAGAACAAGGAACCCCTATTCTGGGAGCGATATCTTAAACATCTTAAGCTTTTCTTATTAGGTGAAAAACCGGATATTATACGGTGCCTTAAAGACGTTATACCTTGATGACCATTTTATACCCAAAGTTCTGGATCCACTATACACTCTTGTTTATTTATTCTCTCGAAATTACAGCCGTGCCTTACCTTTACCCTTTATTTCACAAGTTGTAGCCAGTGGAGTTATCTCCACTACTAGTATTGATATAGAGTCATATTTAAAACCAGTAGTATCTCTCCTTTTTCTCTCCATCTTATGTGCATTTTATTACTCTATATCCACTGACTTTATTCGACGTATTATCTAAAAGAATAAAAAAAATAAATAAAAAAATAAAAAAAAATAAAAAAAAATAAAATTGTGTGCGTGTGTTTTTATATTTATTTTACTACGGCGCATGTGAAACCCCAGGGCATCCAGCACCGGAGAAGCTGAAATGACACTCTCTGAACCCTTGGTGCCGCTCAGATTTTGCCTCTTGGCTGGTAAGCCGAGTCTTGATCGATTAACTCAGCTTCTTCGGTACAACACAGACCGGAGGGTACTATTAGCCGCTTTGCCGGTGGTATCCTCCTGGTGTCCTGGGGTTTGGCAGGTTCCTCATTAAAGAAAAAAAATAAAAAAATAAAAAAAAAATAAAAAAAATAAAAAATAAAATAATGTTGTATAAATTATAATAAACCATTATAAATAACAAGGGTTTTTCTGATTAATAGGATAAACATCCTCGATTTATCCACAACCTTCTTTGATGTTCACAATTAGCTAGATATTCATTTGACACTTGAAAAGAACCGTGATAAACAGTCGCAAAAAGTGGATACGCGGAAATTTTGTAACGGGCATTTAATGGAGCTCACGTGTATGTAATATTGAACAAAATATTTAGTTTTACTAACTTCAAATTGATAAGGTCAAAGGCTGACTTTAAGTTGTAGTTCGTGTCACCTGCTCCATATATTATAAGCATAAAGTGTTTATCGCATGAATTCGGAGAAATCTGATTCATCACATAGAACGATAAATTTGTCCTGCCATCTCCTTTATCTCCCGAAAACTTTATCACTACCTGATCTGAAAGTTATTCCAATGAATTTACCAATTCGTGCAATCAGCAGCTTACTAACTCAAACTGCTAATGGTTCAGTATGTCGAAATATGAATTATAAAGTGTCGTAATCATTTTGATAAGTAGCTCCCAAATGGTCATGTATCAGCTCATAATATTCATTTACCTCCCGATTTGTACCGATCTACACTGTAAATGCCAATGGTGGTGAAAATCATATTATTTTAAGTGTATATTGAATGAAGCCTTGAAGGCAGCAGTCCATAGTTTACCGTGATTCACTGTATCGAACAGAGTGTTCTTGGGTGTGGAATCTATTACCCTCGTCACAAACTCAATACAGTCTGCTATGTACGCCACAGGCACCTCTTTATTAATAGATACCTTGTCACCCTGACTGTTTTTCTCCATCATTCTGAAAGCAAAGGGAGTGTAATTTAATTTTGAGTATATTTATGATTTAGATATTACTAGCAGGAACCCGTATAACCCTAAAATGGTGTCAAGACTCAAGAGACTAAAATAATTATTAACCTCTTTAATTCGCGTTTTTGACACCACTTGGGGTACCAAATTTTGGGCTCTAAAACTTTCTATTTCTTGGCCAATTTTTTATTTTCTCATGCTGATTTGGAGGCCGTTAAAGCATTTGACCCAGTCAAAAAGGTTTCAGTTGTATATCTTTTACGGTTTTTGCGGAAATTTGCGTTAAAATTGATGCCGTGGTGTCAGTAAAATGGCACGGATAAATATATATCGTCTCGCTTTATATATAGTAAGATGTATAAACAAAGCTTACTTCGTTGGGAAGGTTTATTAAACCTATATATATAAGTGGAGTTCTAGTTGGTGTAGGAACTGTAGGTTGTAAATCTACATCTATTGCTTCGAACTCGCTTGAAATATATTACATAAAATATTTTGATATTTATGCCAGTAACTAAGTTCAAAAAAATAGAAATCACAGCAAAACTTTCAACCCATTCGATTGAAATAAATTTAAAAAGTAAGTTAGAACTAAAAAACATTTTTTAAATTTTGTCAAAACTTACCTTTTCTTCGGTGTTGACTTCAGAGGCGTAGTAGAAATTTCCATGTCTATATCCCCAGGAAGAGATTGCATAAAATGATCAACTGAAATTTAGTATTTATATCATTTTTTATAGTTGACGAAATCTACTACAAAATCGATAAGACAATTTTCAGCTCGCAAATGAATTTGAAAACTTGATTCTTTTTACTTACCATACCCGGTCGGTTGCGAATACTGATTGTAATATGGAGTATACATATTCGGATTTTTCATAACCTGCAAAATGTTTTCAGTTATAGGTATCACATTATCGGACTTTAGTTAAACGGACATTGATTGAACACTGGAGACCCTTATATATAGCTTTCATTTTATTGTCTGCTAAAATTAAGTCCGTTCAAATTAAGTCCTAGATTTAGCTGTTCTACTTAAATTTAGTATTTATATCATATTTTATATTTGACGAAATCTCCTTACTAAAAAATTACCAAATTTTTAGCAAGGTTGCAGAAAAAGGATATGTTCATATTATGGCATTTTTAAAATTTTGATTTAGACTTTAGATTTTTTATGAATAAGATCGGAAGAGGGGAAATTAAAACCCAGGAAAAGGTTCGAAATAATACTACTTACCATATCCGGTCGGTTCATATTGCAAGTGTTGCCCGTGGCTGGAACCATTGGCATTGAAATAGCTGTTATAATAACTTTAATCGTTGATCATGATACCTGCAAAAAATTGTTGAGTCATAACTTATACGTACTATACCGTACATAATTATCGGAATTCATTTGAACGGACATTAATTGGACTCTTGAGGCCCTAGCGCTCATTTTAATGTCTGTTCAATCACCGAATTTTTTACCAGTGACCAATCAGTGAGGTCAGTATGAGTGACACCAGTCACCAATCGAGGTACTGGAAGCTGAATATATATATTATATTATATTGCTTACCGTAATAATAATGTCTTACCTTTGTCTTTTACCTTAACCTGTAAGCACTGTCGTAATCCCACTGACGATTTATCCATTTGTGACTGATTTATTCCTGCTAAAAATGCAAGATTTACGATATTGGATATGGTTTGAGTGTGAGAGTATTAGCAAATATACCCAATGACGATACCGAATGGATTTGTAAATGTAAATAACTTACTGTAAAAACTTACTGTTGGCCATGAATTCAAGAGAAGCCCTGGTCTTTTTTCTTTTCTCTGTAATTTGAAACATCAGTTGATGTTTCTTGAAGTTTGTACGTCTTGTTCTAGACTGTATCCCAGTTCAACTAACTTATCAAACTCGTGTTAATAAGTTAAGGACTTAACTTGAAAATCTCGGCCGTACTTTTAGCACTGATAGTTTGCTGAGTGTTTAAGTGTCCTTCCTGGCTGGCCAAATCCAGAACTGAGTGGAGCCTTTGACAGGTGCCATAATTAATGTTATGGTAGCCTCATCTCCATCTACAGACAAAACCTCGCCAGGATAAAAACCGGTCCTATTATTATTCTTGCCCAACCCTATTTAGGGTGTTATGCAAAAACGTTATGTTTTGATTTTTGCCTTTGTTCTTGAAATATGAAATATGTCTGTTGATCTGGCATCGAATATTTTCACCAGGTGGGGTAGCAAGAGTGGTGAGAGGTGGTGTGTTTTGGCCCCGTCCCAATTCTGAACCCCTCTTTGGCAAGGACACCAGCTCTCCTCTCCTCATGGACACCACTGGAGTCTTACTTCATCATTTTCAATCATGCTCGAATGGTAATGAATGGCCATTATTCCTGACTTCATCTTTGATTGAGCAGTCCTGACCTCAGACTCTTGAGGCTTTCCTTCAATTCTGTTTGTCATGATGACTGATTTGATAGTTTAGCTATAGCTGTTGGTCCAATTCCATGTTTAGACCGGGTCGTCCATCAATTTTGAGCCCAGATTTAGAAAATACTTCTATTTCTTTCCTAAAGTTTTTGGTGACATGATTGACGCAGTTACTTTTGTAAAATACACGACACAACAAAAACATGTCCTCATGCTTAGCAATAAACTAAGCATATTTCTCCGTCTTCACCCATTCAGTAGCATCCCTGACATTTGTATATTTCTGTTTCACTGCTTTGCACTCCTCACTCCGTTCGTCATGTCGCTGAGAAATATCCCAGTCAACTCTTTCACATTTTCATTAATTTGACAGTTTGTTTGTGATACAAGTTATAATTTTCGTTCATTTCAATAAAAAAATCAATCATAATTGATTGTTTAAATATCATTAATTTATGAATAAAGCCGAGTCTTACTTTTTATTGACATAGTAACAATTATAATCATAATTACCTCCAGATGAGTTTGTCTGAATACGAGACCTTAATGTTATATTGAAATAGTTCTTATTATTTCAATTATCTAATCTGTTTATATTTTAGCAATGTTTATGAGATCTACCCAGTGGTAAGTTTGTGAGTTTAAGTATTTAATTGTTTACTCACACCTTTTCGTTCGTTTGATTTCACCCTGCTAATTGTTATGGATTCATTTATATGATTTATATGTTTTATATGTTTGATATATTTTCCTTTCAGATTGTTTATCATCATCAAGTCGTTTTATTCCAATAACATTGGTAGCAGAACGGAGTTGGAGAGAAACGAACTGTCACCATGTCTCGGAAGTATGCAACGCCAAAGTTTGATGGATCAAACTATACGCGATGGAAACTACTTGTTAACCTGTGGGAAAAAGTGACTGATATTGACCAAGACAAAAGAGGAGCCGCTTTAATACTTAACATGTCAGGAAGGGCTTTAGATATTGCTTTAGCAGTAGACCCGGATAAAGTATCTTCTACAGAAGTGATAGCCTTAATGGATAAAGTTTATGTGGAGGACAATGATCTTTCAATGAAATGTGATGAATTTGACCGATTGCTTAGAAGACAAGACCAAAATATGAAAGAATTCATACATATATATGAACAGAAGATAAATGAACTTAAAGCTGGAAAGGTAGTTTTACCTGATATCGTCCTAGCAACCAAGATTCTCAGAGCTGCGAATTTACTCCCCAATCATTACCTGATTGCTCGTTCATCATGTTCCACAATGACTTTTGCTAATGCTAAAGATGCTCTATTGAGAATAACAGAAAAATGTCCTGGGAGGAATGCTGTGAAAGGTGAATGCACAGACATGATTCAGGTAAAAGAGGAACCAATGGATTATGATCAACCAATAACAATGTACAATGAAACAGGCTATGGAATTCATAATGTTCATTATGGACACGAAACTGAAAAAAATGACATATTTTATCAGAGTGGAAGCCAAAACAGACGACCTTATGTGAACAGAAATTCGGCCAATAAACAGTGCTATGGGTGTGGAGAATCAAACCACTGGATTAAAGATTGCCCCAGTGTCCACCCAAACAAAGGAAACAACAGAAAATGCTATGGCTGTGGAGATATCACTCATTGGATTAAGGACTGTCCCCACTTACGTGACTTACAAGCTTTAGTAAAAAGCTTGGGTTCAAAACCTATGAGTTATGGACCAAGAAATAACCAAAACAGTCGAAATTACAGAGGGAGATCCAATGAGAAAGAATCATTTTATGCAGAGGATGAAAATTGTAATGTGTCACCAGAAAATGATGGGAACTTCCACTACTCTCAAGAAGAAACAAACAATGGTCAAGAAAAACAAGTTTTTTTCCAATCTGATGTTGGAAATGAAGTGGAAGATATACTGCTGGTAGGAGAAACAGTTAACAAAGCTGTGTTGGATAGTGGAGCTAGCAAGACCGTTTGTGGAAAGGAGTGGTATGATTGTTACATAGAAAGTGTGGATGAGAACACAAAGAAGGACCTAAAAGAATTCCCATCTGATACTGTTTTCCGATTTGGTGTAGGGAAACTCAGAGCATTAAAGATGGTTCACCTTCCTGTGAAACTATGTGAAAAACAGATCAAGCTAGAAGTCCATGTTGTTGAAACTGATATTCCTTTATTATTGTCCCTTAAAACAATGAAGACAATGGGCATGCAGATAAATTTTGAACAAGATAAGGTTGCTGTAGATGGGCAAATGTTTGACCTTGAAACAACATCAAGTGGACACTATGCGTTGTCACTTAGCAGTAATAGCCAAGAGATATATGTAAATACTGTTTCTGACTGTGTAAACGAAGCAAACATAGACGTGAAGAAAAAGGCTTTAAAGCTTCATAGGAGGTTTGCCCATGCAAGTAGCAGTAGAATCATCAAACTAATGAGAAATGCTGGAAAAAGCAATAAAGAGCTTGAGAAGGAACTAGAACTATTACAGAAATCTTGTGATTTTTGTTTGAAACACCAAAGAGCATCCCCTAGACCAACAGTGTGCTTACCACTAGCAAACCAATTTAACGAGTTGATAGCTATGGATTTAAAATTGATAAAAGGGAAATGGGTACTTCATTGTATTGACTACCTTACAAGGTTCTCAGCAGCACATGTTGTCAAGAGTAAAGACCCTAATGAAATAATCGAAAAGTTTTTCATGATATGGGTATCAATTTTTGGGCCTCCCCAACGTATATTGAGTGATAACGGAGGAGAATTTCAGGGTGAGAAATGGGAGCCTATATGTGAAGCTTTTAATATAGTTCAGAGAAGCACAGCAGCTGAAGCCCCTTTCTCCAATGGAGTGTGTGAACGACACAATCTTCTGATCGGTGAAATGACAGAAAAGATTATAGAGGATGTTGACTGTTCTCTTCAAACTGCTCTTATGTGGGCAGTGCATGCTAAGAATTCACTGATTAATATCTATGGCTTCTCGCCATATCAGTTGGTTTTTGGTTACAATCCTCACATACCGGGAAATTCAAGCAACAAACTTCCTGCATTGTCTTCGGAGACAGCCAGCCATATAGTTGCTGATCACCTAAATAGTTTACGTACTGCACGATTAGCATACATTAAAGCAGAAAATTCTGATCGAATTGCAAGGGCTCTTAGGGGACGTGTTTATGAAGGCACTCACAAAAGATTCTGCTCAGGGGATACTGTTTACTACAAAAGGCTGAAAATGAAGAACTGGCAGGGACCAGGCAAAGTGATTGCACAAGATGGGAGCCAAGTATTGGTTAAATCCGGTTCAGGTAGATTAGTCAAGGTTCACCCATGTAAACTAGTTCTCAAACGAGTTGCTGATGACAAGCTAGTGAACAATAACGTAACGTGCTTGAAAGCAAACAAAGACAGAAGACCAAGAGAAAATGATACCTCATCAGAAAGCGACAGCGAGTCTGACGATGATACTGAAAAGGTATCTGAAGAAGAGAAAGTAAGTGAAGTTTCTGAGGTTGACAGAGTTAATGAAGTCTTGGGAGAAGTAAGTGTTAGTGAAGCCTGTGAGGAAGTGAATGTTACAGATAACACTAGAGAAGTCATCGATGAATCAAACCAGCAAAAGACTATCAGGATAACTGATAACCAAATTGAAAGAAGAACAGATGCTGAAACTGAAAGAAAAACAAAAAAGGAATCAACTGTTAAACCTGGAGATAAGATATTCTATAAGATGTCTGACACAGAAAAAGAATGGGTTGTAGCAATGGTCATTAATAGAGGGGGAAAGAAATCGGGAACAATCAGTAATTACTGGAATGTGAAGAACTTGAGGTCTGGGGCCATGTCTGGATTAAATCTTGATGAAGTGGATTGGATCAAAGAAGATGCCACATCACAAGAAATAACTAACATTATAGACCAGTTATCATGGGAAATATTTATTCAAAACGTTGATGAAAAACCCCGAGATAATATTCAAGCAAAAGAGAAAGAAATTGAGAAATGGAAAAGGTTTGGTGTTTATGAAGAAGTCAATAAAAGTGACTACCCAGACCATGATTTGTTGTCATGCAGATGGGTCAATGAATCGAAACAGCTAAGAAACGAGATGACATACAAATTTCGACTTGTTGCAAGAGGCTTTCAGGAAGTAGACGCACCGATTTCGGATTCACCCACCGCACAGAAAAGTGTGATGAGAATGTGCATCATTATGTGTAATATTCAAGCCTGGAGATTGGAGAGTTTAGATATAAGAGCAGCATTTCTCCAGTCAAATGATCTCGATAGAATAGTTCTCATGATCCCTCCTAAAGAGTTCAGAACAAGCAACGAGATTGTGTGGAAGATAAAGAAACCGATATATGGCTTAAATGATGGAGCAAGAAAATGGTTCATAACCATGAAAAAGAAACTCACTGAATATGGTTGTAAGCCTCTGACCTTAGACCCATCGGTGTATGTATATCATGTAGAAAATGAACTGAGTGGATTCTGTGTGTTGCACGTTGACGATTTTTTAATAGGAGGAAACGACAAATTTTACAAAGAGATAATAGAGAAATTGTCAGCAGAATTTGAGATCAGTTCAAGAAACAAAGGTACATTTACTTACGTTGGTTGGAACATCAACCAGGACAGGAACAGCATTGTGATTGATCAAATCACGTACCAGTCAGGAATCAAACCGATAGAATTGCCGATAGCTAGGAGCAAGCAGACAGATCACGAAGCCAACCAAAGTGAAAAAAAGTTATACCAACAGTTACTAGGAAAGCTTCAATGGATATCCTCTCAATCTAGACCTGATATTCGGTTTCCTGTACTAGAATGTAGCATGATGGCTAGCAAGCCTCACATTAAGGATATCTTAAGGATCAACAAAGTTGTGAAGAAAATGAATAAGACAACGGTAAAGATTCATTTCGGTATACCTCACTGTAATGTTCGGGACTTGAAGATCCTTGCATTTTCTGACGCAGCACTAAGTAATTTACCAGACAAAACATCTAGTACTCGCAGTTTTGTTATATTTCTTAGTGGAAAAGGGAAATTGGCACCACTGTCTTGGTGTAGCAGAAAACTAGAGAGAGTTGCCAAAACAATTATCTATGCAGAGGGTATAGCACTTGGTAAATGCCTAGATGAAGCAATTAATTTAAAGCAAACTCTGACGCAGATCATGAATCTTGGAAAAGATGATGTAGTTAATCATGATCTTATTCCTATTATAGGGATAACTGATAGCAAATCGCTATGGGATAACATCAATTCAACTTCCCAAGCTGATGATTTGAAGTTGAGACGAGAAGTAGCATCAATAAGAGAACAACTGGAATTAAAAGAAGTTGCAGAAGTAAAATGGACTCCAACTGAACTGCAATTGGCTGATTGTCTGACCAAGACTACTGCTCCAAATGAGTCATTGATTCATGTCCTCACCACAGGAGAGTTTAACATCCAGCTGTAGAAAAGAATTCCTTCATCAGTCTTCGAAAAGTCTCTTTTGTTTCTGTTCAGACACTTCACTGGATTGCAGGAGAATTTTGGTTCTGTTGTGTTGAAGCACCGTGTTTAATTTGTGTGGGCTCAATTTTTTTTTGAGGTGGGAATTATGGACTAGTAGTGAGGTTTGTTTTAGAGGACTGGTTGTGAGGAGATTGTTGATTTCCACTTAAAGTATATATTTTGGGTTTACATAAAGTGTATAGATGTGTTTCAATATAAACTGAATTTTAGATGAAAACTGTTGTATCCAGTGAATTGAATTGTTCTTTTAAAAGTTGTACTTTGAGTAGATCATTTGTAATTCAATGTAAAACCTTAAGTTTTTAATTTATTTTAAACAAGTTGTTTCCAACTTGTAAGTGTGTTGTTTGTGCATGATTATTATTTTAATATTTTATTCATGGGAAAAGTCTAAAGTTTTAATTTAAACAATCACTGTTCCTCTGGGTACATGAAGATATGTAGTTTTTGTAGCATTTGACTGGGTAGACAATTTTTTATATTTGGCTTTTGTTTGGCGGGAGATTGTTATATTGAAATAGTTCTTATTATTTCAATTATCTAATCTGTTTATATTTTAGCAATGTTTATGAGATCTACCCAGTGGTAAGTTTGTGAGTTTAAGTATTTAATTGTTTACTCACACCTTTTCGTTCGTTTGATTTCACCCTGCTAATTGTTATGGATTCATTTATATGATTTATATGTTTTATATGTTTGATATATTTTCCTTTCAGATTGTTTATCATCATCAAGTCGTTTTATTCCAATAACACTTAAGGGGTTCGTTTTTACTCACTTGAATACAGACTTCACATCAGGGAATGTCTGATAAGTGTTCTTGACCCTACAGAAGAACACTTAGAAGTCCATAGTGTGCGGAAATATTGGCACCTCTATGTTGATGCAATGATGGGTGCCAATGGTTCTGAACCCACTCTGATAATATCAACATTCAACATGGTGAGAGCACACATCAATTTGGAGACTTTTAAATTGTTTTCATTTCTACGTACATACAATATTTATATTATTCGTTATAACGACTAATGAGAACTGTGTTATTATAAGTTTGATTCTAACATTTCTGTACAAATAAAAACTAACATTTCTGGTAGCGGCTGTGGTGCACTGGTGTAGGAGTGGATGGGGTGGGCGATCGAGGGGGAGGTGTTGATCGAGGGGCTGGAGGTGTTGATCGATAGGATAGGGTGGGTGATCGAGGGGGAGGTGTTGCGGATTCATGCCGTACTCTGATAATATAAAAATGGTAACACTAGACAACAATTCGACAACTTTTACAAAACTTTTAATTTACATTTTAGACGGTCTTGAGGGAAAAATACAGTTCACTAATGAAGTATTAATTAACGGACTAATTTACTGATTTGATTATATGTTTTATCAGGAGTTTATGTTAAACTTTAGCTTTACTCACATTGATGTTTCCAGGGGTTTATTATCTTCAACTTTTTTCATTAGCTCTTTCGTGATTTTTCCATAAAAGACATTCTAAGATTCTATACTGTCGAATGTTACTAACAACTTATTTTATTCAAGCACAACGAAATTATTTCAAATTCACTGGTCGGGGATCGTAAGTGGTCATCATGCGAGGGCTCTGTATTGTTGGCAACCTCTGCTGCTCTTTCTGTGGCTGCCTCTTCTCTGAGGAATAATATAACACTTTACATTTTTGTCATTTTGTATGAATTACTTCTAGATTGCTAGTACAAATATGTGTAACGTTATTTCAATATTGACTTTAAATTTAAACTTACTCTAACAGCCGGTACTGTGTTTGTAGCTGCACTATCTGTGCGGCTAATTTGTCCATTCGGACTTGCCGAGAGGCCCGCTCCCTCTTTGTCCGGCCATATCGTCTGTTCAACGATATGACCCCCCGGCCGTTGTCAAGCCTGAGATACCGGGGCAGAATTCGCCCAATTGTCGACATCCGTAGGGACTTCTCCCTGTTTTGCTCAAGCCCGTAACGTGTAAGCTGTCTCAGTAGCCACCTGTGAAGTGTGAAATATATAAATTTGTGGGCAATTCCACCGTGACGGACACCACGATTTTGCTGTTTTTAAAAGTTCAAACGAATGTTGTACTCGAGATGTTATTTATTTATCAGCTCCAACTGTTTATTAGTCCACATTTAACCTTTCTACAGGTACAGGTTGTGTGAAAATTTCAGACCCCTACCATTATTACTTTCTGAGATAGCACCCCTGTGACGGATGCGACTTAAATATGACACTTTTTTTGGGTGTCTACTCAGATGGTACCCAAATTTATCTCAAAAAGTTATCTATTGTCTCTAATTTGGAATTACAATGATAGAAGAAGGTTTAGGGATTTCTAAGATGCCATTTTCTTGGAGATTGCTCAATTTTTGTTTGTGTGGTGCCATTTTCAAATTGTGACAGACGCGACTGTGACGGACACACGTTTTTTTCCAATTTTTCCAAATCTTCCACTTGACACTTTTATCTTGTTCAGTGACATCTACTCTGTATTCATGCCAATTTTTAGGCCTCAAATACCCCCAAGAGGTCTGCAATAGCCAAAATCGTCCATTTTGGGCATACGCTAGGGTATCAGTCTAGGGGCATCAATTATTTCTCAACTTGAACAAATTTATATCTCTGGTAAAACATTCGTCACTGTTCAGCGCATCATACTGTTGAGACCATCTCCTAAAAGTTTCATTACTTTAGTGTTTAAAATGTGGAAGATATTGAATTTTTACTACAAAAATATGCGAAAATAGGGTAAAGTTCATTTTTTGTGCCTTTTACCTCTGAAAAAGTTGTAAGCAAATAAAATGGCAAAAACTCAGTAAATTTAATTATTGAATTGCATATTATGATGTTATTTGATAGTCTAGTCAACATAGTCAACACAATCCAACCTTATTTGACTTCTATTTGTCTTGGTTTTAGTCAAAATAATGGAAATATGGATAAAAATGGCTAAAAAGTGAGCCGTACGCTAAGGTTTTTTTTTTACAAATGTCTCAGACCCATAGCTAGATCTGTGAATTTTAGGCAGACCCACTCGACAGCGGCCAAATTTTGAGCCCCAAGCCCGATACCCACTTTGCCTCCCAATTATATTATCATCTCGTAACTTCATAATGAAGGTTCCGTTATTCATTTAAAGATTAAGTTTTTTCGATTCTGGGCACGTAGCCCGACACGACACGTAGCCGGGGCGAAGCTCCTTTGGTTGGCTAGGGAGGGGGGAAGGCGCAGCCCCCCAGAAAATTTTTGAGAAATTATGTGTTTTAGACGACATTTGGCATTAAAGAAATTTGTAGGACAGTAATAATCAGACATCACAATAATACAAAGTTGGGGGGCTAGGGGGCGCAGCCCTGGCCTTCGGAAAATTTTTGAGAAATAGGGTGTTCCAGACGACATTTGTAGGACAGCAATAATCAGACATTACAATAATACAAGGTTGGTGGGCTGGGGGGCGCAACCCCGGAAAAATTTTGAGAAATAGGGTGATTCAGACGACATTTGGCATTAAAGAAATTTGTAGGACAGCAATAATCATACATCAGAATAATATAAAGTTGGTGGGCTAGGGGAGCGAACCCCCAGGAAAATTTTTGAGAAATAGGGTGATTAAAACGGCATTTGGCATTAAAGAAATTTGTAGGACAGTAATAATCAGACATCACAATAATACAAAGTTGGAGGGCTAGGCAGGCGCAGCCCTGGCCTTCGGAAACTTTTTGAGAAATAGGGTGTTCCAGACGACATTTGTAGGACAGCAATAATCAGACATTACAATAATACAAGGTTGGTGGGCTGGGGGGGCGCAGTAATAATCAGACATCACAATAATATAAAGTTGGGGGACTTGGGGGGGGGGGGGGCGCAGCCCCCAAGAAAATTTTTAGAAATTATTTGTTTTAGACGAAATTAGGCATTAAAGAAATTTGTAGTACGGCGATAATACAAAGTTGGGGGTGCAGCCCCCGGAAAATTTTTGAGAAATAGGGTGTTTCAGACGACATTTGGCATTAGAAATTTGTAATTTCAGACATCACAATAATACAAAGTTGGGGGCTAGGGGGGAACTCAGTACTTGTCACATTGAATGGAATAAGTACATATTGTATAGTGGGATTTGGGAATAATTTACGAAATGCTAAAGTCGATTGCCTGTCGTGTCGTTTAATCAAACAGTCATAAACACAGCCCACTTACCAGGCGACCATGGGGACTAGGGGGTTTATTTTTTTTGGGGTTCAATTTTTTTTCCGTGGGTCTTCCCCTTGGCTACGTGTCTGCATTCTAGTTGCCAGACCCACTCTATTAGAGTGCAGACTGAACATTTTGGTTGCCAGACCCACTATTCTAGAGTCCAGACCCACAATTCTGGTTGTCATATCTCCTATATTCTAGTTCATAGACCCCCAATTCTGGTTGACAGAGTGAAGAATTACCATTCTGGTTGCCAGCCCCACTCTTCTAGAGTGTAGACGCACCATTCCGATTGCCAGACCCACTATTCTTGAGTGAAGACCCACCTTTCGGGTTGCCGGACCCACTATTCTAGACTCTAGACTCCAGACGCACAATTCTGGTTGCCATTTATCCTATATTCTAGTTTAGACCCCCAATTCTGGTTGACACTTGACAGAGTGTAGACTTACCATTCTGGTTGCCAGACCCACTCTTCTAGAGTGAAGACCCACTATCCTAGAATTTTTACCCACCATTCTTGTTGCCAGACCCACTCTTAGCTAGAGTGAAGGTCACCCACTATTCAAGAATTCTGACCCACCATTCTTGTTTCCAGACCCACTACCCTAAGGTGCAGACCCACTATTCTGATTGCCAGACTCACTCATCTTGATTCCCTTGATTGCAGACCCACTATTCTGGTTTCCAGACCCACTCTTATAGATTGCAGACACACCAATCTAGTTGCCAGACCCACTCTTCTAAAGTGTAGACCCACCAGACCTATTATTCTAGAGTGAAGACCCACCATTCGGGTTGTCCAAACCCACAATTCTGGTAGCCATATCTCCTATATTCTAGTTTATAGACCCCCAAATCTAGTTGACAGAGTGTAGACTTACCATTCTGGTTGCCAGGCCCACTCTTCTAGAGTGAAGATCCACTATTCTAGAATGCAGACCCGCAATTCTTGTTGCCAGACCCACTATTCCAGATTGTAGACCCACCTTTCTGGTTTCCAGACTCACCCTTCTAGGGCGAAAATCCACCATTCTGGTTGCCAGACACACTCTTTTAGAGTGTAGACGTACCATTCTGATTGCCAGACCCACTCTTCAAGGGTGCAGACCCACATTCATGTTGCAAGACCCACTTCTAGATTTCAGACCCACTATTCTAGCTGCCAGACTCACTTATAGATTGCAGACCCACCATTCCAGCTGACAGACCCACTCCTCTCAAGTGCAGATCCACCATTCTGGTTGCAAGACCCACTTTTAGATCGCAGACCTACCATTCTAGCCGCCAGACCAACTCTTCTCAAGTATAGACCCACCACTCGGGTTGTCAGACTCACTCTTCAAGGGTGTACGTACACCCACCATTCTGGTTGCCAGACCAACTTCTAGATTGCATACCCACCATTCCAGCTGCCAGACCCACTCTTCTCAAGTCCAGACCCACCACTCTGGTTGTCAGACCCACTCTTCAAGGGTGTACGTACACCCACCATTCTGGTTGCCAGACCAACTTCTAGATTGCAGACCCACCATTCCAGCTGCCAGACCCACTCTTCTCAAGTCCAGACCCACCACTCGGGTTGTCAGACCCACTCTTCAAGGGTGTACGTACACCCACCATTCTGGTTGCCAGACCAACTTCTAGATTGCAGACCCACCATTCCAGCTGCCAGACCCACTCTTCTCAAGTCCAGACCCACCACTCGGGTTGTCAGACCCACTCTTCAAGGGTGTACGTACACCCACCATTCTGGTTGCCAGACCAACTTCTAGATTGCAGACCCACCATTCCAGCTGCCAGACCCACTCTTTTCAAGTGCAGACCCACCACTCTGGTTGTCAGACCCACTCTTGAAGCCTGAAGGGTGCAGACCCACCATTCTGGTTGCCAGACCAACTTCTAGATTGCAGACCCACCATTCCAGCTGCCAGACCCACTCTTCTCAAGTCCAGACCCACCACTCGGGTTGTCAGACCCACTCTTCAAGGGTGTACGTACACCCACCATTCTGGTTGCCAGACCAACTTCTAGATTGCAGACCCACCATTCCAGCTGCCAGACCCACTCTTCTCAAGTCCAGACCCACCACTCGGGTTGTCAGACCCACTCTTCAAGGGTGTACGTACACCCACCATTCTGGTTGCCAGACCAACTTCTAGATTGCAGACCCACCATTCCAGCTGCCAGACCCACTCTTTTCAAGTGCAGACCCACCACTCTGGTTGTCAGACCCACTCTTGAAGCCTGAAGGGTGCAGACCCACCATTCTGGTTGCCAGACCAACTTCTAGATTGCAGACCCACCATTCCAGCTGCCAGACCCACACTTCTCAAGTGCAGATCTACCACTCTGGTTGTCAGACCCACTCTTTAAGCCTGAAGGGTGCAGACCCACCATTCATGTTGCCAGACCCACGTCTAGATTGCAGACCCACCATTCTAACTGCCAGACCCACTTCTAGATTGCAGACCCACCATTCTAGCTGCCAGACCCACTCTTCTCAAGTGCAGACCCACCACACTGGTTGTCAGACCCACTCTTCAAGAATGCAAACACACCATTCTGGTTGCAAGACCCACTTTTAGATTGCAGACCCACCATTCTAGCTGCCAGACCAACTCTTCTCAAGTGTAGACCCACCATTCCAGCTGCCAGACCCACTCTTCTCAAGTCCAGACCCACCACTCGGGTTGTCAGACCCACTCTTCAAGGGTGTACGTACACCCACCATTCTGGTTGCCAGACCAACTTCTAGATTGCAGACCCACCATTCCAGCTGCCAGACCCACTCTTCTCAAGTCCAGACCCACCACTCTGGTTGTCAGACCCACTCTTAAAGGGTGCAGACTCACCATTTAGCGGCCAGACCCACGCTTCTCAAGTGCAGACCCACCACTCTGGTTGCCGGACCCACTCTTCTAGAGTGAAGACTCATTATTCTCGAATGCAGATCCACAATTCTGTTGCTAGACCAACTTCTAGATTGCAGACCCACCATTCCAGCCGCCAGACCCACTCTTCTCAAGTGCAGACCCACCATTCTGGTTGTCAGACCCACTCTTCTAGAGTGAAGACTCATTATTCTCGAATGCAGATCCACAATTCTGGTTGCTAGACCAACTTCTAGATTGCATACCCACCATTCCAGCCGCAAGAACCACTCTTCTCAAGTGCAGACCCACCATTCTGGTTGTCAGACCCACTCTTCAAGGGTGTAGACCCACAATTCTGGTTAACAGACCCACTTCTAGATTGCATACCCACCATTCTAGCTGCCAGACCCACTATTCTCAAGTGCACACCCACCACTCTGGTTGTCAGACCACTCTTTAAAGGTACAGACCCATCATTCTGGTTGCCAGACCCACTTCTAGATTGCAGACCCACCATTCTGGTTGCCAGACTCACTTCTAGATTGCAGACCCACCATTCTAGCGGCCAGACCCACTCTTCTCAAGTGCAGACCCACCACTCTAGGCAACAGGGGTGAATAATATCAACAAATAAAGATTGTTTACTTTTTGCAAACAATTTCTCGTCATGTGACAACCCTTCCCAACCCCCCTCAACAGTCAACCCCCTACCCCTCCCCCCTAAAAAACTCATCGGATTTTTGCTTCCCGCGAACATGATTTTTTCTGAAAATTTTTGTCAAGCCAGATCTGTAAATCTATCAAATATGTAAAAAAAAAACCTTACCGTACGCCCATATGATTTGATTTGATTTGAAACTTTTACAAAATAGCAAGTATACAAATGTACAGCAATTCGAACAAACATATAAAATGGGCCGAAATGTATAAATGCTAAAAAGCGTGGGTCAGTGAAACAAGTACAGAGGACAACTTTCAGAACGGGAGTTTTTTGTTGGCCGCCCAAAGTCTCAATAACATCACCTCCACCTAGTAATAAAATTATGAAACGTGAAAAGTGTGAAACAATCAAATAATAATGTATTTATATAATATAATTGTCTCTCAAATACAGATAACGTCCGTAAACTCTTAAAATACTCCTACAACTCTACAAGTACATATTATACTGATCGGAGTCCGAGAAACATGAATTACGTCATCATGGTGCCTTCTTAACCCGGCTACAGACCTTCCCGTTACGGATGTAGTGGTCGAGATGAGTCTGTTCAGCCCTCTTCTTCTTCAGGTCAGTTACCACGTTCTTCCTTGCTGCACGCTCTTCACTGGATCTATCAGGACAGATCCATACATCTTTGTGTGCATCAGCCATCCTCAGTCTCCCTGTTTTCATCAGAATCTGATGAACTGCTGTTGAGCTTGGGACGGTGATCTTGACTGGTCGGATAGCCGTGATACCTGGCCTCTTCCAGCCGACTCTAGTCGCTTCAAAATGAGGTTTCTCCCCGATCTCCTCCAATACTGCGGTTACCAGAGCTGGAAGCTGTTCTCCATCCTCTTCTTTCAGTCCAAACACTATCAGATTCTTGCTCCTGTCCTCCTCTGCAGCCACACTCTTCATTACATTCTTCAGAATTTTACTGTTGCAGACCGCGCCATTTGTGCTGTTCTTTTGTACAGCGGCACTGTAGCTCTTAATCCCTGTCTCCACCGTTGTTTGTACTGTCTCTTCAACTGACGTCTTTAACAACTGTAGTTGTTCGTCCTTCTGCACTAGCAACTGGTCCTGCAACCTGACCATCTTTTCCTTGTCTGCTAGTGCTTCCGTCTTGAGGCACTCAACAATTTCCATCATAGCGCTCATCTGACTACTCTGCCGTCGTACGAGGTCTGTTGCTTGCATAACCCATTCTGCCATATACCTTTTATAGATAGACGGAGACATGAGTATTTCTTGGTCCATATCTCCACGAATTTCGAAGTTTTCTAATTTCAGTTGTCTTGCCATCGAAGTGAACCATCTATCAGCACAGCCCTCTACATCTTCCTTTTCTTCATAGTTGAAATCCTTAGTAAAACAAATTTTTAGTAAAACAAATTTTATTTTATACCCACAATCAATTCATATTTAGTTCAAATATTTAAAGTCAAAATAACCATTTCACATAAGTGGTTATATTATAATAAAATAATTTGTGATAAATTAATAAATTAATTTACACTCAAAAATGAACAAAATATACACAATTTTTACCTAGTGCAACACTGGTTCAGCGCGCGGCTGATCGAAAAAGTTTGATTTGATTTACTAACTACAGTGTACAGCGTACATGAAAAAATTACTTACTGAATCTTTTAATACTAGACACATTTTAATTCAGATGTTGTTCAATGAGTTAGCCACAAAAATGTTCAAATTATGTAGGAGGGTAAAGGACACAATTGCTAGTAGTGCTTCTTTGTGCCCGTTGACTACAATGAACATTTTGCGGAGTTTCTCCAGACGGCTTTTATCGGAGTGCGTGTTATTTACTTGGTTATGCACAAGCCAGGCCAACATTTTGTTTTTGTGTCAGCCGTGCTACCAGGTTGCAGAGTATCATAAACACTAAACAATTATACACTATACAAATTTGCTAATACAATATCATGCAGAGTCCGATCTAGCTGCAAACGTCAGACACCACAGTTCAGCCGCCAAGTACCGTTTAAGTGAACACCGAAACACGAGGTTTAGGTGTCATTTTGTAAATCACTTTATGGATGGATAATTCAGTAATTGTTGAAGAAAATTACAGTCACTGCCTTGAGTTTCTTCTGAGATCGGGTCAAATGTGAATCATCCTCCGTGGTGTACATTGTATAGTAATGTACAAGTATACACACGCAAAGGCTTACTACGCGGTAGCAGCAAACTGAATTTATCGCAAAGTTACAAAAGATAAGAGAGCTTGATAATTGCAACGTAAGCTACACACACTACACACTAATTGGGCATATACAAAATTATACATAACTCGGTCATTTTCTGTCCAATTTTCGATTTGACGACATAGTTGTGTTGAGGACGGCCTCAGCTTTAAGAAAAATGCATTTAAAGTCTGTTTAAAGATATTCTGGAGCATTTTCAAAAAAATGTGACGGACGCGACAAGTTGAGTTTCTTTTAAGAAAAAATTTTTTCTTAAAAGATACAAGCCTGATAATTTTTACTGTACTCCCTTACCTTCAGAAGAGATAGGTTACAGTGGTTTTTTTAATATTTAAATAGCACTATGTGGCTCTGAAAAAACTTTTTTGCTTAATTTTGTGACAGACGCGACACCATCTTTGTGGAAATTTTTTTGAAAAAGTATTTGAGTAACGGTTTTGAAACTTTGCATAGCTCTCATTCTTATGCCTATGCCTAAGTGTATGGAATTTTATAGAGAAATATTGCTGCATACCCAAACTATGGCCCTTTGAAAATTTGAATGATTTTTTCATTTCCGAGTAGTGTTCCTTTAAATGAGAAAAATCAAAAGTTAATGCAATATGAAACAAAAAACTTTTGTTGGCCTGTAAGGTTAAGAGTCTAATGAACATATTTTAACCAAAATTAGGTGCTTATCTTAACATTTTTCATTTTCACCAAGTGGAACCTTACCGTGGAATTGCCCTTGTACTGAAGTATCATAGAGTTATATTGTATATGAACGACTCCTAGACCTCATCAATAAATATATCGACCAAATGCAGTCAGCATAATTACTACACTTACCTCCAAATGCCCCTCCTTCTTCCTCTGATGTTAGCGTTCTCCTTGAAGGGGGCCGGTTTTAGGCCATGGGTGGTTGTCACCACTAGGGACTACGGGTGGAAGATGAATAAGGGGTTCGTTTTTACTCCCTTGAATACAGACTTCAAATCAGGGAATGTCTGATAACTTGCTGTTGCTGCTGATGGAGTCCGGGGTTGCTGGTTCTGTGCTAAGACCTCCTGTCTCAAGGAGCTCAACTCTTTCATCACGTCCGTCATCCACTGAAAAAGAAATTAATCACATTTTTAATGGGTAATCATTATACCACTTTGCATCAAAAACTTTGATAAATTATATAGTATTATAATAAATAATAAATTCTAACTTTTATTACACGTATTGATGACAATGAACATGAAACTTCTAATAGGTAATAAGGAACAATTCATACTGTTTGCTGGGATCCTGGAGCCCTGGAGGCTCTGTGTATACCCCTGGGGTTACTGAAGGTATTACTGATGGTAATCACGCCAGAGGGGCCAGCTACAGAGGTAAAGTCTGCTGTTTGAGGAGTAGGGAGGATGGCGGTGGCTGTAGAACTAGCGCCAGAGGGCCCAGCTGTAGGGCTGAGGGGGGGCTGCAGCAGAGGGCCCAGCTGGAGGACTGTGGGCGGCTGAGGGCGGGGCTGTAGGACTGAGGCCTCTAAGGGGGGCTGCGACAGAGGCCCCAGCTGGAGGACTAGGGGGGGCAGGAAGAGGTGGTGAGGGAGGGTCTGGGACAGATGGGGCCTGCCCTCATGTAGGCAAAGATGGGTTGTGCTGATGCCCCAATTGAGCTCATCAGCAGCAATTTGGACTCAATCCACTGTACCGTAGGAGGATTGCTTGTCCTTCTGAAGATAATCTAGGTTTGATCATAGTAGCAGATCTATCAAAACTTTTGTATGGAACTGTATAAATTGATAAAAGAAAGTTTTTAGTATATAATACATTATACTGACTTAGGCCTAGCAAAATAGTACATTATCACAATGACTTACCGATGCTTGGCTATATGGGGTTCCCTATTTTTCCAGGGGAATCCTGTTCCTTGTCTTCCTTTAAAACCACAGATCGAACAATAATACTGGATTCTTGGCATGACTATAAAAGATAATATTATATTATAGTAATATTCTATTATATAGTAATAGTAATTAAGAAATCAATAAATTTGCAAAATCACTATTACAGTAATGGATGTTATGTGTTTATTTTTTTTTTTTTAAAGTAAAACAAAATCATCACACGTCATAAGGAATATTTCTACAAAAATTTAACATTTGAATAAAATAAATATTCAGATCTGTACAGTATACTCTTAGACCCAGTAATACAAATTTGCCCAATTTATATACTTTCCACTACTATATAAGTTTATAAAACGTTTCTTTGCAACGTGTGAATTCCACCGAAGATATTCAATAAGATTTTCTTTATTATATTATTATTAAATCTTAAATAGCTAATAATTTAATTAATTATTAACAGGCCCCTTAACGTGGGCAATAACATACGCTTTATAAATTATATAAAAAAATTCAAGTCTATTTTTCCGATTTTGCTAACTGTTTCTTTAGATCTGTTTCGGTCTTTTGTGGGAGTTCCCACATCTGCTCATGCTGGTTGAGAATGCTCAACATAACATACACGATGCTTGACTGCTTTATTGACCCGGACAGGCACCGGGGGCAGACATCCCAACACCAGTGCGTTGGGACATAGTGTTGGTCTGCTTCAGGACGTGTTAGATCCTAGAGAAGCCGCCATCCCCTCTACTGCTTTAGCTCAGCGGCAGCATGAGCCCTGGTTTCCTGCCACATTGGTACCTCTGAAAGTACAGAAAAGACTTCATCAGAGACATACCAAAAATAACCTCATTGACAGATTTCTTTTAGAACATAATGAGCAAGAAGAATATGTACTTACTCTGAGAAAAAACAATTTTATTATTTATCACCAATTCAATACATAATCAATAAATATATATCCGAATAAATCTGATTTAAAATTAAATGATACAAGTATGCTAGCAGCTAGCGCGCTTGTATTTGATAAATATTCACGCTGTTAAAATGGGTTTTACCACACCGCCACTCACATTAGCACAGTTGGTGAACGGACCCAGGCGCTGTTAAGCTTTTATGAGCCCTGGTTGACTGCAATCATATTTTTCTTAAATCATATTAGTTTAACTTTAAAACTTAAAACTGTCTAAGAATTTTTGACATCTGGTGGGAGCTTGTTCCAATATGGTCTCACTCTTTCTCTCTCTCTCTGAAAAAAAAAGAACTGTGGACTTTCTTGATCACATTGCTACTGCATCTATATTAGATACTGAAAAAGGGGTGGGGGACCCCCAGCCCATGTAGCTGAGACACCTCACAGCAAGTAGACCAAAATGGATCTTGCTTGGTGGGTTGGGAGTCCCCCATGGGATCATTTCGTCCTTAAATAAAAAAATTATTCAAACAATATACACATAATATAACAATTACCCTATATAAAAATTCAATATAAATTCAATAGAAAACTAAATAAAATTTATAAACACCCTTTAAGTAGTATAATTAAACCAGTTTAAAGAACTGGCTCCAAATTTATATCTAATACTGCTATTTTTACTGCACTACTACTTTTCAACCCTCTCTCTCCTCTAAGAGCTATGATTGTTGTTCTCAATTGGTCAAATCTTACTCTCTTCCTAATAAATGTCATTGCCTCACTATATCGTTGGCCTGATTTCCTAGATAGTTTATCCGCTAATTTCTTGAAGAACTTATTAGCTTCCCTTCCCATACCCCCAGTGGTTGATAGGACTATATAAAATAGTACAGTAAAATATCTAAAAAATAGAATTATTCAAACAATATACACATAATATAGCAATGACCCTATATAAAAATAATTATAATTATAAAAATTCTGTAAAAATGGTACAAATTTAAAAACTGAGGTAAAATAAAACCCTTTGTAATAATATATGTAAAATCCACTAAATCACATCACAACAAAAAGCAGTTTAGACCACCATCCAACAAGCACTCCATGACCTTTTAGGGTTTAAGAGTGTTGATCAGGTTAAGGTCCAAATCACTTATTGCTGTGGGTGGAAGGGTTCTGGTACCTCTGTACCCCCTGATAGAGATTATACAGGTTCTGAGTAGATCAAAACGCAGTCTGCGTCTGACAAATGACATCACATCACAATACCGTTGGCCTTTCTTTAGGCTGATCTTTTCAGCGAGATGTTTTAGGAACTGTGAAGCCTCGGTTGCCATTCCTCCTGTAGTACTGAACACCAGTGGCGTGAAGGAAGCCTTTTCAACATTTAGGACTCTGTCATTGTACTCACGTTTTTTGTTTATATATATATATAAATATCTAAAAAATGTACATAAACAAATCTAGGAGACTCAAAGCTTGTCTTTGCAGTCCTTGCAGTTCAAGATGCTGGGCTATTGATACTATATTAAGTCCGGATCTGCTCATTCCAAACAGATCAGGCCGTAATCGATCAACTTATAACTTTAAAAACCTCAATAAGATCACCACATATTCAACCCTCTTCTACCGTTGTTGTTAAATTAAAAATTTCCAGTCGATAGCTGTATCATGGATATAGCTGTATTATGTATATGGAGAGTACCCACCTCTTCAATCAGACGAGCAAACGGCCTTTGGACGCTCTTCACCTCCAAAGTGATCCCCTCCATGAGCCGCAGCTGACGCGATTACAAATCTTTATTCTTCTGGGAAGTATGAATAGGGTTCACATAGCCATGTGCCTACGCGTACTGCGTGACGCGCTTGTTTCACAAGTAGGATATCTTTTGGGGATGCTTTTTGAACTTATTTGAAATTTTTTAATAAAGTTGTAGTTAATAATTTATTAATTTGGTGGTAAGATATTTATATTTTTGTATCACGTGGTGACCCCCACTGTCGCTTCACTATAGTAGAGTTTCTACGAAACAGGGGGAGCCGCGTACTCGTGCGCGGCGGGTCATACAACGTATGACAATATTTTTCCTTGCTCTAACCAGAGCCCTCTCGCTTGCAGTAGTATCCTACTTGTGAAACAAGCGCGTCACGCAGTACGCGTAGGCACATGGCTATGTGAATATTTTTCCATATAGTGATTTGATACTTTGTAGACATGTGTGACATGATGTTATGTCATGGTCATAATTTGTATTCACTTACTTACTATTATATGACAATGTTTGTTGAACATTTAATATGTCTCGACTCTCAATTATCGCGCGCTTTGTATTATATTTTATTTTTAACTATTTACGCCGTCATTCATAAATTTTGATTGACGGTGTCAACCTATCGAGATCGTTGCTCTGCGAAGCAGACAGCAGATTAACGATCGACGATGCTAGTTTGCGCGGCACGTCGAAGCGGCAAAGTCCTCCAATCATAAATTCAATTTTGATTTACTAAATATAGTGCCATTTTTTCAGACATGTGTTGCGAGTGCAAAATATTATTTAAATAATTATCTTCGACTTGTTGCGCAAGAAATTAAGAAATTTTATATTTACGGCAAAATGTGTTGCTCTAATCATAGCTAAATATCGTGCTGCGCGCGCGACCGATTTAGTCGGCTGTCATTCCCCATTCCCACTACAACCGCCTTTAGCGGTTGCGCGCGCAACGAGTTATTGGGGGGAGTACTAAGTACTTAATGATTGATCGCTGCATTGTAAAGGATGATAATTAGTTACTGTACACTCGACTGCCACGTAAATATTTTTACACTTTTCCAGACGCTGAATGATAATTCAAAACACTAATCTAATTCCTAACTGAAGCATATACTGAAACCCTAACCTTGGCCTTAACGAGAAATTATACCAACTTCCTTGAATGGTCATATCACGTGATCAAAACAGTTTTTTGCCGATATCTCGCTAGGACTGGGGAAACATTTTAACCCTATGTCATGTGGGGAGATTCGGAATCAGCGTTCGAAAACACATCAAACCAGCTAGTTTTTGACGGTCAGCCGGCCTTTTAGAAAAATCTTTAAAATGGACTGTAAAGTGATTTTGCACGCTCGCAATGAAAACAGAACTCAGTAGGAGATACAACGCTGTTTGGAACCGGGGCAGTTTCAGAGAGTGGCGGTTCAGGGGAGTATAAGAACTCTCCACTTTTGTCGTATGACTGGTCTGAGTCCCTAGTTAAGTATCTCCATAGTCTCTGTCTTAACAAGGCTACAACACCTTTATTTTCCTGGTTACATGCAGAAAGCTCCTCTTTCGCATCTTTCAGTTTCATCTTAGTTACTATTACACTTACAGCAGCATAGCTGGGGGTGAGTAAGGGTCTTCTAAGAGAGTTTCTGTTCTTGTTTTCATATCGATTATGAAGGCGATTTAGGGTTACAAATATATATTGATTCTGTGCTGGTACTTCGATCTGAACCTAATACTTCGTCAACTATTCTTCTCTTTGGTACTGAAGATTTTACAATAGTATTAAATATCAATTACAAATTATCTTACTATTTATAAAGTGAGACGATATATATATACATTTATCCATACCATTTAACTGACACCACGGCATCAATTTTAACGCAACTTTCCACGAAAACTGTAAAAGATATACAACTGAAACTTTTTTGACTGGGTCAAATGCTTTAATGCTTTTCAAATCAGCATGAAAAATAGAAAGATAGGCCAAGGAATAAGAATTTTAGTGCCCTAAATTTGGACCTCCAAGTGGTGTCAAAAAATCTAATTAAATAGGTAATAATTATGTCAGTCTCTTGAGCCTTGACACCACTTTAGGGTTAGACGGGTTCCTGCTACGTCTAGGATACAAGGATACAATTTATTGAATTCACAATAGTTATAATTCTGAAATAATTTAAGGTTACACAATTATAGTTACCTTACTCGGGATTATTACGACGGGTTTATTAACGACTGGTTAAAATCAGTGGCGTAACGTTGCCTGTTGGCGCCCCCTGCCGAAAAAAGCGCCCCCCTGTTGGCGCCCCCTCCCCTTTTGGTGCCCCTCCCTAAAATTGAACAAATTAGGTGATTTTAGAGAATACGCCGGTAAAATCTCTAAAAAAGTGTGTATCTAGAGCAAAACGCGCAGTTTTGCTAGTACTTTAGTTAAGTTTTCGAAATTGTGCCACATTCAAACGACGATTTGGCGCCCCCCTAAGACGGCGCCCCCCTGCACAGCGGGGTCAGCAGGGCCTTTCGTTCCGCCACTGGTTAAAATATGGGTCGGGAAAAATATGGCGAAATTGCTCAAAACCCACCACATTTTCCTGGTCGCCATTTTACCGGTGTCCAACCTTTCAATTTTAGATTCAAAAATTTTGTCTCAGATGTAAATTTCTTTATTAGAGATAAGCAAGTTTAGAAATTTTCGCATTGCTAAAACTTGTGAAACAAGTCGAATTATCAATAATTGTTGAAAGTAGACAGAATTTCGTCGAGCTGGTATTTTAGAGGCAATTAATTACACGCAATTCCCTGAACAGGATCCTTATAAGGACTTATAAACTTGTGGACTATTGATAGTGAGATTGTTGTTACTTATAGGAATTTTTTGTGATCCCCTTTCTGCTGGTAGTAACGTGTTGGTAGTCTAGCACTCTAGCAAATTCGTTGTTTTGAATTAGCATTAAATGTTTACGTGTATCAAATAACCATTATGACTCAATTTGTGCTCTGCTTTAGCATCACTTGACTATTTTAAAAAATTGTTTGTTCAGGCCATGACCTTATAGTCAGCCAATTGGCCATTGCTATATTATGTGTATATTGTTTGAATATTCTTTTTTCTTATGACTCAATTTGTAGAAAATCTTCGAAAGAATACATCGTTCACATTGTTTAGAATTATGAATAAATGACTGATGAAACTGATTCATGTTATTGACAGTTTTAATTAATTCAAGTTTTAATTTAACTGTTACTTTTACTTTGAGTGACAAGAATTGGGCAAAAAGGTGAATTTTTTGCAATTTTAGCCAAATGAAGTCGAAAAACCTACAACAAGTGTCCCAATAGTCTTCTTTAGTGAATATAAGACAACGATTAAAATATGAGCACCCATACCCCTAGGGAACCCTAAAAGCTGAGACGGCGGGTTTATTAACAACCGGTGAAAATGTGGTTCGGGAATAATATGGCGAAATTGCCCTAAACCCGCCACTTTATCCCGGTCATAATAATCCTGAGTAAGGTATTTACAAATGTGTAGGTATGAAATAGAAATGTTTTATAATACTATTTTTCTATGAATAGATTGGATTTGTAGATTTCGATCTTATTTTGAGGTCCTATAGCATTATGCATTGGCCAGTATTTGAGTGGAAGTCTGGGCTCTTATAATAGGCTGTAAAATGTTCGTTCACAGAGAGAATTGAATGGATTGCTCTTGCTGTGGCAGTAAATTTTGTAGGGTCTAGTGTTTTATCGGATAGCAAACCGGCTAGGTCAGTAATATTTTTGGGGTGGAAGTTAAATTTTTCTCTAACTAAGGAGTAGAGTAAACAGTCAGTTAGAACATGAATTTCGTCCTCAATAGGCCCCTGCCCCCTTAAGGGCAGGGGGGGGGTCCTCATGGAAATTTTCTCAAAATCGATTTTTTAGTTGTTTCTAATAGAGGGGAGTGATGTCTATCAGATACTTTTAATCCCATAGAAAAATATTGTTCCTAGCCGAAATTATTGCCGGTCAAAAGTCAGCGCTTGTGTGTAATTGTATTGCGCAAGGGATTTTTGATCGCGCGTCCTGAAAATCGACTCTAAAAATCTATCTTCTCCTACATTTTTTAAGCAATCACTCTGAAACTTTCAGGATATGTTCTAGGGACCATTTAGAAGAGATAAGCCGGATGGAATTTTGAGATAGGCCTTTAAACATTTTTATTCGATTTTGAAAATCTTGGACATTGTTTTTTGATGATTTTCAAAAGGTCCAAGATTTTCAAAATCGAATAAAAAATTTTTAAAGGCCTATCTCAAAATTTCATCCGGCTTATCTCTTCTATTACTGATGTTTTATAACGTTTTAACGGGGTGTAATTTTGTTAGGTAGGTATTTAACATTATTAGTCTTTTGGAAATTGAAGTTTTGATCTTTACTATTTATTGTTAATAAAATGCTCATTGTAGCCAGTTATTTTAAGATTGTCATCATCAATATCTCTTCTAAATGGTCCCTAGAACATATCCTGAAAGTTTCAGAGTGATTGCTCAAAAAATGTAGGAGAAGATAGATTTTTAGAGTCGATTTTCAGGACGCGATCAAAAATCCCTTGCGCAATACAATTACTCACAAGCGCTGACCTTTGACCGGCAATAATTTCGGCTAAGAACAATATTTTTCTATGGGATTAAAAGCATCTAATAGACATCACTCCCCTCTATTAGAAACAACTAAAAAATCGATTTTGAGAAAATTTCCATGAGGACCCCCCCCCCCTGCCCCCTTAAGCCCCTTGCTGAAAAAGCAGAAAGTGCACCATTGATGTTCTCTTGGTACTAGGGGGGTTTCGTAACGGCCCCTCTCAATGTAAAGATTGTGGCAGCTAATACAAAACTTTGTTAAGCTTTTCCGAGCATCAGGGATCTTAACCACTCCTAAGTATGTTTCTGGTTCAAAATCATGTTTAATTTGATTGTAGAATTCTAAATTAGGTGAGGATGCCTATGAATATAGATAATTTAGATAGTAAATGTGTGATGCACAGGCAACTGAAATTGCCTATTGCCTTAAAATTATTTGAAGTGTCAACAACAAATTCATCTATTTCCACAAGTCTCAGGTGCTGCCCGGAATACAGATAATATTAATTATAACAAATCTTTAACTTTTAGAAAATGATGTCCCAAACTATGAAACGATATCAGACAAAGCAGTCAATACAGAGGGATCTTCAAGAAGTAAGAAAAAAAGAGGTTCAGCAGTTGTGTAGCCAGCTAAATGTGCTGCTTGTCGACAAAATGAATAGTAGAGTAGAGGGTGCATATATCAATCAGAAAAAACTCCAAGGTCACACAAGACAGCTCCAATACAACAGTGCAAACCTTCAAAGGCAATCAGAACAGTGGCTCAAACTTTTGGATAACTTTAACGAGGCTTTGAAGGAAATTGGTGATGTGAGCAATTGGGCTAAGTCATTGGAAAATGAAATGACTAAGATATCTCACACGTTGGCATATGCTTACAAAGGCGAGGTGGAAAATTCGAATTCTAATGTATCAATATTGGAATGAGTCATTGGCAAGTACCAGCATTGTGTTCATCAGTATAATGTTATTCTGTGTTTAAACTCTCATATCAAGGAAGACGTTTCAATTCGGACTGAGTCAATTTGCACATGATCACTGGTCAGATACCTTCTTTGAGACTGCCAATTGTCAAAAGGACAAATGGTTTCTCAGCTAGTGAGAAATTACCTTAAGGCTGTTTGTATGATTCGATTTAAAATTCAATTGATTGTGATGACAGAATTAAAAACTATTGTGAAATTAAAGTTAAAATGTCTATGTTAAACATCTCTAAAAATGAGGTTTTTTGTTGAACTTTTTATATGTCATATTGACTATTGAGTGACCTTTGGAAGCTTCTAACTTTTTATCAAAAATATGTACATCTGTGAGATTGGTTTTGATCATTTTTAAAACTCAATCTATATCATTATCGAAAAAATCTAACGTGATAGCTAAAGCTCTTCTTATAAACTGACTCTAAATTGATTCATTATATATTTACCTAATATTTTACATTCAACACTCATTTTGTTGTTTTATAAATAAGAACTGTACTAAGAACTTACCATTTAATATTTTAGGAAGGTATCGGGAATGGATAAAGTTGCACTCGCTATAAAACAGGTACTAGCTGTACAACCTTATATAAGCAAGTTAAGACAACATCAATTATATGTGTTCCTCGTTTTGTAATCCATCTGAACCTATTAAATTATCTTTCAAATCACTTTCAGCGGTATCAGAAATTTTTGGACGATGTTGTGCCGTTCTTGGTTCCCAGATGGCTCTTCGTTTGTGGAATAATATTCTACTTTATCTACCGGATAATAGCACTGGAGGTCAGTGATTGTTGGTAAAATTCTGGCTACCAGTAGTCAGATTTGTTCATATTATTGAAAATCACAGTATAGAATGTATATTAAATCTTCTAGCAATTACTGTTGAATTATTTATACCACGTCTGTCGCCTAAATTAATGGCTAATGTATTACATTCAACATATTCTGTGTGGTGAACAGTCGAACACCATTATCCTTCTGTTCTGTGATTGTGTAAAGCTGTCCATTTCAACTTCAGTATTAACATGATTAAGATGATAATAGTTAGCATTTATGTATTTTCAGGGTTGGTATATATCCAGTTACGCATTGGCTATCTTTCATCTCAATCTATTTATCGCCTTCCTTTCTCCTAAAATCGACCCCTCCTTTGAAATGTCTGAATCGCTTGGTAAGTCATCTAACTGCAATTTGGATCAAATAACAGTTATTTTTATTGTTTTCAATAGTAATTGTCTGTATGAGTATGACACTTATTAATTTTATCAATGTTAACCAACTTCAGATGATGAAGATGGTCCAGCTTTACCAACCAACAACAACGAAGAATTCAGACCCTTCATAAGGAGACTTCCTGAATTCAAATTCTGGTAAAGTTATTTTCTAATAATTTAACTAATAACTTAACTT